CTATTAAATGACAATGAAGTCTCCCTAAATGCTCCTGTTAGGGGAAAAAAGAGAGGAATTAGGCATGTGTGGAAGTGCTGCTTCTGATTTAGTAACTGTGAGAACTCTCCACCCCTTCCTCCCCAGCCCAGCATCTGTGATAGAGAGCACAGACATCTGCAGAAGGTGCAGTGAGACCAGGAGCCACCCTCTGTGCTCCCCAGACTTGTTCCACTGCAGGTGAATCGTTGGGAAATGCAAAGCAAAGGAAATCACTCACCTCTTAGAGAAACTGCTGGTTTCCTAAAGAATTCCACACAGGTTCATGCCAGCCTGCCACACCTGAGGCAGTGCTTAACTTTTAACTAAGTTTTCTTTTGAACTATCCCACTTTTAAAAAACCAGATTTTTTTTTCTTCTCTGCAAACTGCTGCAAGAGAATGACAATCTGGCTTTGTCTTGAAACATTCTGAGTCTTTCAGATGATGCTGTCTTGACAGGTCTGCTATTAATAGTGGCATTTTCCCTGCTGTTTAAAAAGAAGACTTGTGCTGAACTGAGGATCAGTCATGTTCATAATTTTTCACCAAGGGTAGATGCAGTCTGTGAGCTGACGTAGGAGAATTTACGTTGCCAATACCATGAAACATTAATTAATTTATTTATGGCACATCAGCACACGTAGCTGAAAAATAACATAGCTCTTCTTCAAGAGGCAGTAGGGCTGGATTTACAGCATGCCTGAATCATTGTGACCTGACCTTTTCTTTCTGCTTGGAGATGAGAAAAGCCTTTGATAAGCACAAGGAACATGAAGACGTACCTGGAAATGTCTTTCTACTGTAAGAAGTCACTAAAAATTCATTAGAAGTTTAGCATATACATCTGAAAACATGTAGTGGGTTTTTGATCTGTTTTTGGGAATTTCTTTTACTCCAAATATTGCTGTTTCCTTCCATTTAGGAGCAAATCCACTTTTGGCGGAGCTCATCCTTGATAACAGAATTCAGGAATGGTGTGAAAAAGTCAGTACTTAAATGTGAGCTCTCACAAATTATTTAGGAGCTTCAAGTGACATGGCTAGGCCAAAAGGTGGTGTTTTATTGCAATAAATGGTTATTGAGCCAAACACTCAGTGGAAAATTGAAAACATGGCATTGTTGTGAAGGGGGAAAAAATGAGGCTCTGGGGCCTTTTTAACATCCTGAAATAATTTCATATTGACACATACTGTGCCTATGAATGATAATATTTTAATAGGAAAAAGTTGAAAAGTCACCTTAGAAAAGCATTTAATTGAGAAAAGAACCTTGTGCACAGCAGCAGAGAGGCACAGACCTCAGGAGAAATGTCTTTAAAATCCACAGCTGTTGAATACCTACTGTATATTTAGAGTGGGTATCTTGAATTCTGCTTTTGATTTCAGAGTATTTTCTGTTACATAAATTACTGTCTGCACAGGTAGTCTTTATTAGTAGTATTAGTATTAGTATTAGTATTAGTATTAGTATTAGTATTAGTATTAGTATTAGTATTAGTCTTGATCTGCAGGATTCCTACACATTTCCACTCTGGCTAGTGACCACGATTCTAGTGACTGTAGGCTTGATTTTGTTAGTTTTCACTAACAAAAGTGAAAGTTTTTGGGAGTTTTTCTAACTAGATTTTGTTAGTTTTAACTAACTAACTTTAATTTTGTTAGAGTTCCCATGGGCTACAAATGGCTCTTTTCATTTTAGGGAGCTCTCACATCCCCACATGCTTGTTGAATTGTATTCATGTTTAGGATATTGTGTTTAAAAATGAGCAATGTTGACAATGTCATGTATAATTTCATGTCGACAGAACATTTCATACTTCATGTAAATGAGGGGTTAACACATTCTTAAACTATTTTTTAGGATGTTGTCATAAGCAGGCATAATCTTCATGGAGCTGTGGATCACTACAGCCCACTGCTTTAAGTCATACATCATCCTGCTGCCTTTTATCATACTCATAACAATTTGTAGAAGTTAAAAAAGCCACTGTTGAAAGAGCTGTAGAGATTATCACCATAGAGGTGAGGTAATTTTTATCAGAGACTCTTAAAGCTACACTGTTATTTGAAACCAGCACTTTAATTTTTGTTGCCAAAAGAGGATGTATATTTCATGCAACTTTAACCTTTCTGAGAAAGAGTATTTATTTCAGGAGATCCTAGGAAAATTCCCCATGTTTAAAAATGAAATGTCTGTAGAAAAGCCATGCTCACAGGTGCCTGATTCCCAAAAGATCCTGGATCTTCCCCTCGGGTGTTTCACACCCTTTAGGACTGAGCTGAGTCCAGAGTGCCCAGAAAGGCCAGCAGTGTCACCTTTAACCATCTCTGCGCACAGAGCACATTGGCACACCCCAAATCCTCCTGGAGTGATGGATACTGAAGTGAAATGCTATCAGGTTACATAAACCACTGATGGATGAATCACAGGTAATGTCATTTTTTCCAGAGGAAAAGGCTCCAGGGAGACTTAGAAGCTTTGAGCTGCCACTCAACCTGCAGTTTGTTCCTTCAGCTCTTCTCAGAGTATGTTCCTGAGACAATTTGCCTCTAAGCTGATCACACAACAAATCCCTTTGTACTTCAACTAGGAAGCACTGCCCAAAAGTATATAATTAGGTTTTCAACGTTCTGAAAAGCTGTTTTGACAATTAAAGCATTTATGTTTCCTAACATTTAAAACCAGAGGTTTGTACAACAGAACATCTTCCAGACTTGCAGCAAACTTTATGAAGAATAAGGAATTTTATGTCCTCATAAATTTTGCTGCAAGTCTAGAGGACATGAATATGCTTTGCCAAAACAAAAGCAAATCCAAATAAGTGCAAATTAATGAGCTAAACCACTTTTTAAGGCAGAAATTGTTATGGCAGTATCACTGGTTTAAATAAATAACTAGTTATGAAACCAGACAGCATGAATGGAGAATCAGTTAAATTATCTTTCCTTTTTTGCCCTCTTCTTCTATTTCTTTTGAGAGAGCAGGCCCCCAAAATATCTTAAGCGGGTTTTTTTTTCGTTTATGCAGATGCTGGGACCCTTATGAGTGGGTGAAAGGAGTGAAAATGCTGTAGCAGGGTCTTTGTTTTGAGGTTCCTATGCTCAGTTCTGCTTGTCTGTTCAAAGGCTGAAGTTTGCAGTGAAGTTTTGGAGCGTGGACCCAAATCAGGACCCAAGCCTGAGAAGCAAATCGTGTGTTGTCCTTGTAAGAAACTCCCCCTGTTACCCTCTGTTTGACTGGGAGGTGCATGGACTGCCTGAGAAGCAGCTCCCAGCAGACACTTCTGAGAAATAAAATGGTTTTAAACATTGCCCTGGATCTGAGCTGATGGGGGAAATGATGGTGAACCTGCTCTGTGTCATGGCATCCTCTCCTGGTTTGCCATGCCACATCCTGTGGGATGCAGCCCCTGGTGCTGTGGCTCTGTGCAGGTGCTGCTCACATTCCCAGCTTTTCATGGATTAGAAGTGGCTGCTTACAGCTGCAGTGATGGCAAAGGGCTGTTGGACCTTAGTGATTTCAAAATAAGCTGTTGTGTTTACAGTGAGAGCAGAAATGTCCTTTTTTGGTAGGTAAATCATCATGACATATAACATTGAGACTAGGACCAATAACGGATTGTAATCTGCTTTTTTCACTTAGGACTTGAAGGTGTATCCACTGACTGCTAGATGAGATGTCTGATGGACTTAATTGAAGTCAAATGATCTCTTCTTGTTGTGTTAGCCAGAACTATTTGTGCTTGGTCAAATTATTCTCTGATTTTGCAATGTAAATCAGTAATGAGTAATCTCATTCCCCTCTTCCCTTCTGACCCTGTGCCACCCTTTCCTAAAGTCCACCCAACCTGTAAATTTACACACTTAGGTGCACCCCCAAAGTTCCTCTCTGGCTTGTGGCTGCTCTCTGGATGTCTTCAGTGCACAGGAGTGTCAGCACTTCATGCTCAGAGATCTCTCACAGATGTAGCCCTTGGCCTTTATTTTTGCAGGGAAAAGAAACAGATGGGCTTAATTTTCCTTCTGAGAACTCAGTGCGTGTCTGTCACATCTGAGCACTCCAAAATGCACAACTGAAATTTGGCAAAAACACAAGTTGCCCCATACTTGGTTAATTTTCAACAATGTAGATTTAAAGTCAAAGTTCAAGTGTGCCATATCAGTGATTTCTTGCAGAAACCTTTTCAGACTGTAAGTACCTCATTGTTTTGCCATGAGGATATTTTCCGTTGTCTCAGTCTAACATTAGTGTAATTGCTTTTGAGTAACAGTTTGAACTGTACCTGGTAAAACAAGATTTCAAAAAGCTTTTTGCAACCAGAAAAATAAATTAGTTAAAAATCCTGCCACCATAATTGCTTTCTGAATCGTTATGTTCTGTGATTTTTAATCCTGTAAACAAAATTAAGATGTGGCAGTTTATCTATCTGTATGACTAAGCTGAGCTAAATGGAAGATGAATTGTACTTTGAAAGTAGCAAATCCTCTTGGGACTTAGGCAAGGCAACTTGCAAAACATTGCATCATCAACTTTAAATTCAGATATTTGGGTGCTTTTTTCCTTTTTATTTGTTAGGTAGAGTGATGATGCCTTGTGAAGGCTGCCCTAGAGAGAGGCTGGGCAGAGTTCCAGAATAAAGCAGGGATTTATTCACAGGATCTCCTCCATGGATCCACCTTGGGCAGCACCAGAGCCCAGCCAGGGCTGCACCCAAGATGAACCCAAATGGCCCCAAAATGCACGGCCAGGCACGGGGTCTGTCCCTGGGATCAGTTCTGCTCCATTTGCACCTTGCAGTTCATTGTCCCATTCCAGCTTTAGCCCAGGCAGTCCCACCCTGCTTGTTTTTCTCTCTCCAGCCCACGGGGTTTGTGCTCCTGGGCTGAGATTTGGGTCATTTGTCCTTGGTGCCCAGCTGGAGCAGGAATTGTTTTGTCGCCCTGCTCTGTGCACAGAGCTCACCATCCCCTCATGTGAAGCTCAGAACTGCACACTAAAGCAGCACAAATTCTGAAAAAATAAAAGCTAAAACGTGAGGCATCAGTGAAATGTGATTTAATGTGATGGTTTGTGTGGGACAAGTGGCTCCAAAGTGATGTCTCAGTGCTTGCCTGCCTGCTGCTGGCAGCTGCACCAAACCAGCCTCTTTTGGTGCTCACTGGAAGGCTCAGCTTTGGTTTTAGGCCAGCTTTGTTCAGCCCAGGTCACCCTGGGTGCTCTGTGCCCTGCAGCTGCTCTGAGCTGCCCCCACAGTGAGAAATCTCTGTGCATGTGCAGGGTGGGTGTTTTCTGATCACCTGTGTGTCCTTCTGGCTGCCCCTGCAGGTTCACTCAGGCAGTGGAGAGGATGGAAGAGGCAGTTCTGGGCATTGCCAACTTCCTAGCCTGCCATAAATGTGTCACCAGCTCAGTGCAGAGGTGGAGGGAGGAATTTTCCTGCCCTGTCCCCTGAAATTTCAGTGAGCATTGCAGGCTTATGAGTGGGATTCAGGTGCAGGTGTTCGCATGAATGGACTCAGGTGCTCGTAGGTCACTAAGAACCCAAGGGCAAACTTTTGCATACCCATTTTAAAATAAATGTATTTTAATAGAGCTATATTTTGGCTTGTTCAATGAGATAAAGAGGTTTTTAGGTGAGTCCGAAGAGCCCAAGAGTGTAACCAATGTACCCAAGAGGAATGTACAATGGAGAGCAGGTAGATGGAGAAGGGAGTGGGAGCACACTTGTTTCATGGGACCAAGAAATTGTGTTTATAGACACAGAAATGGTAATTTAAATTCTATCCTGGACTTAAAGTGTGGTATGAGTGCACCTGAGCTGAATGAGTTATGCACCTGTGTCTTTCTGATAATTCAGGCTGTTAGTCTCTGTTGGCATCAGTAACATTTGATGAAGTGTGACCACAAAATATTATGGAGCTGGGGAAAGCAATTTCAGAATCAGAGCTGGAAATAATGATTCTGTCTACTTGGTTATTCAATTAATAATCTTAATAATCTTCCCAGTAAAAAATTGGTTGAAATGCTTTTTTTCCTGGATCCTAATTTCTGCTGTGAGGGAAGGTATGAATAATTAAAGGCAAACAATGCTGTTTTGACTGCTGTAATTGCATGAGGAGCTGTGTGACGTGTCTGATCCCCCAAGTCAGGTAACAGGGTGCTGTCTGGTGTCTTGTAGCACCAGGAAGGAAAATCTGCAGTTAGCCAGATGATGTTCCCTGGTGTGACAGTGAAATGCAGGGAAATACAGTGAAACTGGTGCAGAAAGGGAAAGAATCCCTTTGCCAGCTCCTAGAAGAGGACAAATATAGGGTATTGCTGTCATGTTTTGGTATTGCTGGTGGGCTTCAGAGAAAAGCAGTATTTAGATAAAGCATTAATGAGTCCCTGGGATATAAATTTTGTTTCAAATTGAAAAAAAAAAGAAAAAAAAAAAAAGAAGAAGAAGAAGAAAAAAAAAAAGAAGCTGTGTGAGTACAGTTTAGTCCTGTGATTGAACACAATTTGTAGAAGTATCTGTGAGCAAAGCAGAGATAAAATCTCTGTATCTATCGCAGATAATTGTCTGAGTGCTGAGCACCTGTTAATTGTAAGGTATTTCCAGGAATGCTGTAATAACGCATTGTGCTTTTCAAAGCTGCAAGTGAGAAAGCACCTACAGAAGGAGTTAATGCCTGTGGACTTGCTAGGAATCAAGTTAGTTAGGAAACACATTTGAGAGGATTAACATTGTTGTAGAAATGAATGTTTGGAGAGATTGGCCAGGAGGGTGCTGAGGTGAAGAATTTGGAAGGCACTGAGTCCTGTTGGTGGGCTGGTCAAGCTGCTCCCCATCCCTGGAGCCATGAGGGGGAGAGCCCAGAGCAGAGCAGGTGCTGCAGGATCCCTTGGGAAGTGTTCCCCAGACCAAAAAGAGGAAATTCACCTGTATCCATCCTGCCTATCAGGTAGGGCTCTGCCTTGCCCTGGTTTTTCACCTTACTCCATCAGGCCCCAGGGAACTGTATTGCATAACTTTATTTAATGGAGTCTCTGCAGGAGCCCTTGGAATGAATAGAATAAAATTTTGATTCATTGTGCAAACCCTCAGATGTGTTGGGGCTTTTGCAGGTCAGTATATCCATTCCCTGGAATATATTGCTCCTTCTTTGAACACACTTGGAATATATGTAAAATTTCAACAGAGCAGGCAGCTTAGCATTGTGAGACACTCTGATCATCAAGTTGAAATGGAGATAAGCAAAAGTAGGCAGATGAATAAAGAGGAATATTTTTGACAATCTTGGGAGAGGAAGGAGAATGGAGTCTGTTTTGTGTCCATTTAGAGCTCAAGTTGGTCTGGTGGTTTTGGTTTGATTTTGTTTTCCTCTAATTTTAATGCCAAGAGATAATATCTCTACTCTAACCAAGTTATTTAATTTAGAATAAAATCCATAATCTGGCAGGCTTTGTTGCAATCCAGTTTGCAATTAGTGAAGGAAAATGCTAAAATGTCAAATCTCTTAAAAGGAATATCATATTTTTGTAAACATGGGACAAAATCTTCTGTTCTTTTCTCTCAACTTTTTCCAACTCTGTAACGGGATGGCCGGCAGACTCAGAAACAGACACCAGTGTCCATTAAAAAAGGCAACATGAAGGAGCCTGAGAAGCCACGTGCAGAGGACAAATTCTGCTGCATTTCCAAGCTGAAGGTACAGCCATATTTTAGTGATTTTGCAAAACCACACAACTGTAATTACTGCATTTACAGAATTTTGGTAGAAGTTACGGCCTGGATTAAATGAATGTATTAGGTGTTGTCTTTTACCCTTAATGCCCTTACAAAAGTCTGTAAACAGCTGTGCTGGTTTTTTCTCTCCCTGAAGTTTCCACTCTGTGAGATGTTGGAGATATTGATTGATTGCTGCTTTGAAACTTCACCACTGACTTTGTGTAAACCCCCAGCCTAACACATTTACCTTTCCTTCTTAAAGCTGTGAAATGAGCTTTACTGACTGGGATGTGGCAGTAAAAACTGCCTGTTGATCTCGAATGGTAATTCAAGTTGTCAAAAAATGCTAGAAAATCTTATAAAATAACTTTTTAAAAATAGTAATTAAAAATCCAAATGCGTTTCTTTTGCTTTTTAGCTTTTGCAGCAGATTTATTTAAAAATAATATTGATTTCATTTAATAAATGCTGCTTATAAAGAAGCCTGAAGTTAAAAGGGTTTGAATACTGCTGCTCTCATTTTAACTTTTTAGCTGTCAGTTGCTACTAATTGTCTTGTAAAAATGTCATTGACTCCTTTTGGTTGAAATTACTTGTTGTGGCCTCGTGACCTCTGCTGAGATGGGAGAGCAGATCCTGGACGGAGTAATTCCTCCAAAGGAAAGGATCTCAGCTCTGCAAGCTGAGATTTGTCATTTGGGTGAGCAGGGGGTGGGAAGGTCCTGCAGGTGGCAACCTTGCAGCAGGCACTGCTGGCTAAACGGGACCTGGGGTGCTGAGGGCAGTCTTGGTCAATTAGAGAAGAAGAACAAAGTTTGTTTGGGTTTTTTTGGTAGGTTTTTTTTGGTGGTTTTTTTTTTTTCTTTTTTTTTGTGTTTTGGTTTGGGTTTTTTGTTGTTTGTTTTTTTTGGCAAAGCCATAACTCTAGAAAGGAATAGATGATGGGATTTACACGCACATCAGCGGAAGAGAACTGCTCACTTTTTGAACTGGAAGCACACCTTTACTGGGGGAAATAACCAAGGAATATTCATAAATGTATAATTTTTATGCATTCTTCCCTTCCCTTCCTAGGTATTTCTGCTGGCACTGTCACTTGCCTTCCTTGGGAAAACCATGTCTGGTGCTTACATGAACAGCATGTACACACAGATAGAGAAACAATTTAATATCCCAGCTTCTTTAGTGGGCATCATTAATGGAAGCTTTGAAATTGGTAATCTCTCATTTTGATATTTCTGATTCTTTGAAAATGTAATCTGTGGTCTGAGCATGTCTTAGTGACTCTCATCTGCTCTCAATTACTATGTGTGCAAACTCTGTCATTCTTTTGAGCTGATTTGTAACCATTTCATGTCTTGGAAATTAATAGGACCTCTTGAATGGGCAAATTTAGGTTTAAAAACTGGTCCAGCTAATTTCTGCACTATCATAAGATATGACAGAGCAACTAACAAAACAGAACTAGTTTATGAGATGTTTTCTTTAGAAATGTTCAATACACAAAAAAACCAACTATGTAAACTTTGTTTGAATTTAAGCTCATATTTAGAATTTTGTAGTTCCTTTAATTAAACTTGGTTGGAGTGGACTGTGAATCCTTATCTAAACTCAATAATATTTTAAGTTTTTGTACCTGTACAACTGTCCTTGCAAAGAAAATTTCCAGTTCTACTTTTAGTGCTCCTTACCTTGCCTGTCAGTAAATGTTGTTGTCCAGTGATAAACTTAAATGTTTAAGTGTCATTCGAGCCACTGATTCAGCACAGCCTGTTTAGAAATTATACATAAAAAAGGCATTATTTTCTTTCAGAGCATGACGCTCATCACTCAGAGACATGGTTTTGTTCTTCTGACAAAAAGATCATAAAATTAGTAGGTGTAAAATTATTAAATTGCTATTTTTATAGGGCCTGATTCATAATATGAAGTTTGATTCTTTTCTTAGTTGCATAGCAATAAGTGGAGAAAATCAACTGCTTCTAAGTGAAAGTGGAGGTGAGGAAAATGAAGATTTTTAGTACATTTTTGTTTTTAAATGGTACTAGGTATAAAAACCTGTGACTTTTTATTATTAAGCTATTAATAAAATTAATATTTAATTATTATTCCCTTTTTTGTACTATGGTTATCTTGTGTTTATTATTTTCAGTAGAAAAACACTATGATGTACACTTCTGTATTTTCCTACACATTACCAAATAAAGTATCCGTGGGGAATATTCCTAATAATATTCCTATATTATTCTGCAGTCCTGGGCCTGTTCTCTATGCCAAGTAGTGGGAAATTTCTCCTCTATAAAGGTGCACTTAAAAGTCTCTCTCACAGTGATCTCTTTTCCACCCTGCCTTTTATTCTCGTGTTCTTTTCATGTGATGTAACTTTTCCAAAAAAAGATCATGTATAGCAGGGAATTACTGCACCATGTAGGCAGTTCCCTGTCTAGTGACACTTTTTAAAGCCAAAAAAAGAAACAGGAGCTGACAAGACATGCTCAGGTTTGTAACTATTATGGGGTGCCTTGGTTTGCAGATGGTGACCCCGGTTCTCTTTGCAGGTAACTTGCTGCTGATAGCATTTGTGAGTTACTTTGGAGCAAAGCTTCACAGACCCAGAATAATTGCTTTGGGCTGCACAGTTCTGTCCTTTGGATGTCTTTTGATATCACTTCCTCATTTTCTGTTTGGGAGGTGAGTGTTGTGCTTAGCTCACAGCAGCTTCTGTGACCCTTGCTGGCATTAACCCTTTCATCCTCCTGCTGAGGGTGCTGCTTATGGGGACAGACATTGCTGAGCATGGATTCAGTCTGATCACTGCAGATTCTTTGGGTTTGCTCCTGAGATGGCTCCAAAAGTCAGCCACCACCTCCTGAGGAGAGTCACCCCTCTGCTGGGCACCTGCCTTTGCCTTCATCCTTTTGCTCACCCTTGCATGGGCTCTCCCAACTAACAGCTGTGATGCTGCCACTTTTAGCTCTTATCTGCTTGGATGGACCATAGAAATTGTGATTTTTGAAGATCTCTTGATCTGGAACCTGGATGAGAGATCATCCCTGGTCACTGTGTTGGCAGGAATGAAATTGGGTATTATCAATCATCACAAACTGGCACAACAAAATGACCCTGTTATGTAAATCTTTTTTAACCTGAACAATGCAGAGTGAAAATTTGGACTCTGTCTTCTTCACACTTCTAGGAATTTATTCAGAGAAAGAGACCTCCCAGAGGATAAGAAATAGGTGTTTCTCAAGCTATTTTCACTGCCAAATTAATTTCTTATAGCCACAGTGCAGAGATGCCATCTACCTGTTCTGACTAAAAGAGTAGCTAGAAGCAAATTTAGTACTGACCATAATGATCCTTCAACTCCTTTGAAATGATTTTTTGCTTGACTTAAAAGAAATAATAATGTAAGCTTGTGTAGGCTTTAATCAGCAAGGTGTTTTTTGATCCTTCAATCTTGTTGTGTCCAGTGAGGAATGGCTCTGGCTGCCTACTCTTATAGGTAGCTCCATGACTCCAGCACAGACAAATGAAAATGGTTCTCATGAATATCTTCTTGACCTGTACATGCTTTCTTTCCTTTGTTTCCAACAGGTATCACATTGAAAGCAGCATTTCACAAAGGGAAAATGTCTCAGTGATGCCTCTGTGCCTTGTTAATCACAACTTGTCCTCTTTGCCTACAGAGGAACCATCAACAGGTAGGACTTTTCCTATGTCTGTTGATGTTCTTTTCTATGTCTATAGTGTCTAAATAAATGGATTTTTGTTTTTATTAGCAATCACTTGTTTATTAAATAATGGTGATTGTTGATTAAACTATTTTCATCTAAATGACGTACAGGCACACAGATCCCATAGACCCTCATGCCTGTGAATATACTTGGGTAAGGTGATTGTTGATTGGTTTATGGACAAGCAAGGCTGTGATATTCATATATCTGAGTCCATTTCCTGTGTGAAGTGAAAACTGGACTGAATGTGAACCCATCTGCACGTGGATTGCTTTACCTGTGTTTGGTGACAGCAATTTAACATAAAAACAGGAGATCTGGGTTTTATCTTTGGCCAGACACCCAGAAAGGCAGCAGCTGCTGCTAACAAAGTTGGTTTTTATTGGTTAATGAATATGAAAGAGAAATCTCAGCATGACAAAGGGGGAGAGAGCAGTGGAGTCTGAAGCAGATTATGGCATGAAGAAATCCCAGTTCAAGGAGAGAAAGGAAGTAAAAAAGTATTGTGACTAGTTATTTATATTTTCTTTTATAAGACAAGCTTACCCACCAAAGCTTAAGTTGTTGGTCAATTCTTTGTCTCCAGATTTTCATTAATAGTTGGGAATAAAACATATATTTTTTTTTTTTTTTTGGTTTATCCACAGAATGTGAACAAGAGCCTGGGTCCCTGCTGTGGATTTTTGTGATGGTTGGAAACATCGTGAGAGGGATGGGGGAAACTCCCATCATGCCTTTGGGAATTTCCTATTTGGAGGACTTTGCCAAAGCAGAGAATTCACCTTTCTACCTGGGTAAATCCACCCTGTTGTGGTAATTCCCCTCCTCCGAACACACAGACAAACAAAAGCAAAAGAAAGGATTATTGTGATGCCCTTCAGCCCAATAAAGAAATTGAGAAAACATTAATTATTGCCTTATCAAAACAACAATATTTTAGGACTTGTAATTTAACCAGAGAGAAACTTGTTGGAATGAGGCCATTTTTAGGTGCAAATGCTTTTCCAGTAGAGCTGTCCTAACCATATGGAGCAATTCCAAGAAGATAATTGTGACTGGGTTCTAATTTAGAATGTTTTCTCTTTTTCCCACTCTAGCATGTCTACATACAGCAACTGTAATTGGTCCCTTCCTTGGTTTGTTGTTGGCTTCATTCTGTGCAGAGCTCTTTGTTGACATTGGATCAGTAGGTGCAGGTAATGGGTGAACATATTAAACCTTATTTTTAAGTCTGTAGTTGGTGTATTTTTCAGAGCTAAAGGATATTTCCTTGCTAATGTGAGTTAATCCCACCATGAGTTTGTTGGTGTTTTTTTTTCAAATAGAAGATTTGTTTATAATATTCAGTTCATAGATAAACAAATCAATCTGCTTGTAAATTATCTGTTGAAAACTTGTGTCATCTGGCTTAACAGGGGAAAGGACTAGAATTAACTTAATACAAGCCACTGAAATTTGCCAGAAAATTAGCAACATTAGAAAAGAGAACTGGAGAATATGCTCCCTCATTTTAAGAATCATTATTTTATGAGCCTCATTTCAAGAATCATTAAAATGCTTTTATGTCAGAGGTGACTGGGAAAGCCCAAAATGACAGCAAAAACTGTTTCTGAAGTGATCAAGATGTCTGTTTTTGTGTTTTATTCCAGATGAGATAACTATAGCAGCCACAGATGCCCGCTGGGTTGGGGCCTGGTGGCTGGGCATTTTGATCTGTGCACTGCTCAATCTGCTGGTGGCAATTCCATTCTGGTTCTTGCCCAAGTCCCTGGTGAAGGAAGGTGAAACCAATGAACCTGAGGAGACAAGTGAAAAAACTGCAACACCATTGCAAGAAAATGATAAGAATGAAGCCAAGCAGACCATGTATGAAATTGCTAAAGGCAAGTTGTGTTGCATTTTATTCCTTTCTAGCTTTAGTCCTAAGGTGTGAACTCTGTGTACTTTGTAATTAAAGGTGGGTCCAAGATGTGCAGTGCCTGCTCTGTTTTGATGTCTCTGCAGTTCAAGGGATTTGTACAGGGATTTAGAATGGCTCCTTGCAGAGGAAAAAAGCTGATTTCATAGATATGGGATCTGGATTCTTCCTTTTCCCCTCCTGCAATTCAGGTGTATCTCCCAAGGGAGGGCTGAAGCTCTGAAATCTGAGTAGAAATATTACAGCTCTGTGAGCTGAGCATGAGGTGCAGATATTGATTGCTTGTACCCCACATTCACTAGGCAGAAAAGCAGAAACCCAACATAAACCTTGTGCATTTCTTGAGTCCAGCTGGGAGGCCTAAAAGGGAATTGACAGAAAATTAACCCTCATAAACATTTAATTATTGCTGAACAAAGATGTATTCCACTCACATTTATTCACCTGGCAGCTTTCACATTTGGGATCTTTCAAATCTATGGTCTTGTAGGAGCATATTTTTTCCTTCCTTATTTGAAGGAAACAGCCTTCCAACATTTCCTGGTTGGAAATGTAAGTGAATAAACCATGTCAAAGGGTATGACCTTCAGAGCAGCCTGTCCTGCTGAATCTGACAGGACCTCAGAAATGTTCACCAAGTAAATTCCAAGTGGCAGCTCCCTCTCTGTGCTTTTCTAGCTGGGTCCTGCAGATTCACCACACCCAGAGTGAGTCCTTAGGTCCTGGCTGATAGTGCAGCTTCATCTTGTTAACCAGAGCATCTCTTTCTGCTGTCACCTAGCCTAAAATGAATCCATGAATAAAATACTGTTCTCCCAGCTCAGATGTGGCTCCTTAGTGCTCCAGGGTTATAGGAATGTTTTTATAGTAAAAAATAACCTAAAATAAAACTAATTTAATAACAATAAAATTTCCTTAAGAAGCTATGATTAAAAATGTCACTGCATCTGGAAATAATGCAGCTTATTTATAGTGTTTCTAAGATTTGACTAATTGTTGAAAGTATCTGCATACAGATCTACTTCTAATACGGTCCTTGCTTAGCTCTGGAAGATATACACCCATCCTAAGTGGTGCCCACTTTCAGTCAGGCCCAGTCATTGTTTTTGTAGATGCCTAAATTTATCTGCATAGTTTCTTGTCAACAGCTCAGCACATTGATTAAGAGAGAACATTAGACAAAGGGGAATTGTGGGGCTTTTTTATGGTTCAAATCCTGACTTAATGGGCATTACTCAGAGGAAAGACCTGTGTGAATCAGTTTCTCAGATGCTTACTTGGCTGAAAACTGGCTGATGCAGGGTTTGAGAGGATGGTGGGAATAACTCTGCTCACAGCTCTCTTCAGGCCTCTTCTGCCCCAGGAGCAAACCCCAAAATCAGAGTTCTGCTCTCTGGGGCAACTTCTCACAGCTCTGGAGTGCATTTTCACCCCTGTGGATGCCAGCTGCAGGACAAGGCTTTTGCTGAGTGCTCTGGGGCATGAGATGAGAGAAAAGGGAGGGAAGATGGGGCGGAAGCTGCGGCTGCTGTGATTTATTTATTATTTTTTGATAAGGAAGAGCTGCACTGGTGTGCATGCGTGTGTGTGTGAGGGTATCTCTGGGTAGAGGAGACCCAGGGCTAAGCAAGGAATCTTTGGCCTGTGGTGCTGGCAAAGCACAAGGTTTATCCTGGTCCAGCTCAGGACCATTTCTGTTCCCCCCTTTCCCTCACAGCCACATTGTTTTCATAAAGCATCACACTAACTCAAGGCATTATTTCCTTGCAGATTTCATCCCCTTCCTCAAGGCTCTGTTCCACAACCCTGTGTATATGTTATTTATATGCATAACTGTGCTACAGTTCAGTGCCTTTGATGGCATGATATCCTTCATGCCCAAGTATCTGGAACAGCAGTTTGGGAAATCTGCATCAGATGCCATCTTTTTGATTGGTATGTTTGCATTTTGTTTTGTTCTATCAATTAGTGATGTCTCTGATCAAATTATCTATATTTTCACATATATACATATGTTCATGTGTATTTATATATACATACTAAGGTTAAATGCTTCTACAGATGAGGGATATCACATTACAAAACATTTCTAAATGCCAATGCATTTTCTGCTAAACATCTAATTTTTTGTGCAAAATTTTATAATCTAATTCCTATCTTTTGAATTGGCTCCAAAAATTCAGCTGATATGAAACTAAGCCATGTGATGCTTGTGTAAAACCATTTCCAATGTGTCTTTCAGTCAGAATTTGCTTCTTTTAAGCATCAATCATCAAAGAATGATGTGAGAGCACATTCAGTAATCTCATCTCAAAACTGAAAGCCTGTTCCTCCTTTCTGTCACGCTTAGAGTGCATTAAGATATGCACTTAATTAAGATGTGCACAGACCTTTCTGTTGAGTTTCACAGCTGGAGAGGTTGGATTGAAGCCATATAATTTTTTTCTTCCATTTTTTGGGGGTTGTTTTTTGTTTTCTTTTTATTTTGTTTTCTGGGGTGGGTTTTTTTGTTTGTTTTGTTTTGTTTTTGTTGTTGTTTTTGTTTTTGAGTTGGATCTAGAGTGCAACTCTAGATTGCCATTTTCCAATTAGTAATTTTAGCCCTACCCTGTAGCTCCCTCCCCAAGCAGTTCTCACCTGCTGTTGACTTTGGCAGAGGGTTTGGCTGTGAAGGGAAATTAGCAGAGACCCATTTCTGATTGTAGTTAAATTATTCAGCCCCAGGCACACTTTGAGTCTTTGCCAAACACAACCTTCCCTCACAGCAGCTATATAGCTCCCTCTCTAGCTGCCCTGTAGTAGAGTAGCATTGATGGTCTCCTTTGTTTTAACATGGAAGTTTCACTTGTTTAACTAGGTGTTTACAACTTGCCAGTTCTATGCGTTGGGTATTTTTCTGGAGGCTTGTTCATGAAGAAATTCAAGATAAATATCTATCAGGCTGCGAGCATAGCATTTTGGGTATCTTTACTGGAATACCTTCTCTACTTTGCTGCCTATTGGACTGTCTGTGATACCTCACCAGTTGCTGGTCTAACAGTTTCCTATCAAGGGTATGTTTATGGGGACTCAGGAGGACTTCAGTCTTAAAACATCAGGATGATTTTTCTTGTCAAGAATCAGCCAGGAGCTCCATTGCAGTTCCCTGTTCTAAATTCTCAAGGCTTTCTGCTTGCATTAGATATTAGGTCTGTTATCCCTGTTTCAAACAACAAAAGTGTATTAAAAAAGATATCCATGCAGTTGCATGTCCATATTAATTCTTTTACTAATACAATTAGTAAAGTCATGTAACTGCAGCTGAAAATAAAAATTGTTGGTGAAATCAGGCATACGTGAATGCAATTTCAGAAAAAGAGGGGAACAAATCCCCTTCTTGATCTTACACTGGTTTACTCAAATTTGATTACTATCAAGTTATCAGAGGGTGTTTTATCTGCAGTTTCTTGATTTGAAATCAGCCATTGATCATTGGGAATCTTAGAATGGTTTGGGGGAAGGGATCTTAAAGAGCCCCTATCTCCAACCTCCCTGCCCCATGGCAGGTTGTGCTTTGTGTCTGTAAAATGGACATGGAGGTGTAGATACAACCCTTATGGATGATCAAGAGCATACAGGCCATAGATGAGGAAAAAGCTCTGGGGTATTCATACCTAATTTACAATATTAATATAAAACAATACAATTTAGTGTCCTATAGAGAGATAAAAAGGCATGACTTCAGGGCAGGAGCATGTAGGGTTGGGTCCTGATTCAACACTTGAGCTAGAATAGAGTCTTAAGCATTGCACAGGGTTACTGTGGGTATCTCATTACTGAAATATTTATTCACCTTCTGAATGTGTTTCAGAATAGAACAAGTTTCATATGCAGAAAATACTCTCCTGGCTGGCTGCAACATGGATTGTGATTGCCCACTTAAAATCTGGGACCCAGTTTGTGGGAGCAATGGGATCACTTATGTGTCACCTTGTCTTGCTGGGTGTAAATCCTCAAGAGGAACTGGAAGGAGTTTGGTAAGGCATACATTTTATTGTACTGTAACTGTGAAATCAAGTAGGTGGCAAATATTTATACCAATATAGGAAGGGGAATCATATACATAATTAATGTACATATAATATATATTAATATATTTTTACCTTATACCTTATATATTCATGTACATTGAATATATAAGGTAAAAGATTTGAACAAATTCATTGAGTAGCACCAGAAATTTCAAACTGCATAGGAAAATCGGTTTAAGTTTAAATTAAAAAACATCACGAAGGACAATTCTTCTCTCTTAAGAACTAAAGGAATATTAAATGCTTAACAAGGAGTGAGAAAATATTCTGAAGGTGCTGCCAAGTGGAGACCTGAGTGCCCAAGAACATTTTAACCAAAATGAAATTCTATAGCATGAACTATTAAAGAGATTATTATAATCTCTTTTACCCTGTAGGTTTAAAGGTAAAATGCCAGGTAACCAGGCATTATAGAACTTTTATCCCCAAATACAGGGATGGCTGGACCTGTGCCTGGCAGCCTGGGAGGGAGGCTCAGTGCAATGCTGCTCATGAGTAACAGGTTTGAGAGCAGGAGACAGTGAGATGGGTGCCAACAGTGTGGCTTTGCCATCAGAGTGTGAGTTTGGACAATCTGTGTGATTTAAATATTCTTTTGATAGGTATTTGAAAACTGCACCTGTGTTGCAGCCTCAGGGTTTTCATCTCAAAACATCTCTGCAACTCTGGGCCACTGTGATGGACATGAAAGCTGTGACAAGATGCTCCATTATTTTTTAATCCTGACATTAGTCTGCAGCTTCATTTTTTCCTTAGCAGCCATGCCTGGATACATGGTCTTAATGAGGTACAGTAAAATTTCCTTGTCTTATGAAATCTACCAGACTTTTTATTCTGAGGTTTTAATTCTCCAGGGAATTAAAAGGTGTTTAGTTTGCATATGGAAGGAGGAAGAGCAGAAAAATCTGATGTAATTTCTGTGCTGTTATGGTTCAGTGTCATATCACCTTTGTAATCTGATGCAGGTTCTGGCTGTCAGCTTTATCCTGAATGAATGCAGGAGCCCTGAGTCAGGGCAGTGGGATTTTGAGTGGTGTGTGATACCTGGGATTTTATCAATCATTTTAATCAAATCATAATTTATGATGTTGATTCAGCCACAACTGCCCTGCACTTTGTGTTGGCCCTGATACCATACCCTGATAGAAGCTTTTCCTTCTGTGATTTGGCAGTCCTAGATAAGGAACTTTTCAGCAAACATCACCTAATGAGCATAATGAGATCATTATTAGAATGGTTTGGGCCTAATGTGATGAAGAATTTGATTAAAAAAAAAGGTTAAATATCTCTTATTAATGTCACCTCTATGAATAATTGTACAATGCAATTATCATTCTTACTCTATTATTACATTATCATACAGGTCTCTAAAGCCTGAAGAGAAGTCATTTGGAGTGGGTATCCATGGGCTGGCTTCAAGAGTGTTTGGTAAGAAAATATCTCACGCACTTCAGAAGAACAGTTAGGGCTGACCTAGAGCTAGAGAAGGATCCCATCAGGACTGTGGGCATGGCACAGGAGTCATTCTTTTTGTGGAGTGCCTTTGATCAGGAACCATTTAGGAATTATTTTTCACAGCTCTCAGAGCATGGCAAAGTAGAACTGCTTGCAATTTGCAATTTTTTTAATGGATAATACGCTGGTATCTTGGTTTAACCCCAGTCAGGATCTAAGTACCATGCATCCACTTATTCTCCTCCCACATGGAATAGGGAGAAGAGCTGGAAAAAAAGGTGGAGCATGCAGGTTAAATAAAGAATAGTTTAGCATGGAAAGAAAGTAAAATATAATAATAATAATAGGAAAAATAGAGAGAGGAATAAAACAAAAGAACAAAAAGTGATACAGAATAAAATAGTTTGTGAGCTGTTGACCAATACCCATCCCACTCCCAAACAGTCCTCAGTCAGTCCCTCCCTGCCACTTCTCTCCACTCTGTGTACTCAACATGACACTGCAGGTTGTGGAATTTCCCTTTGGCCAGTTTGGGCCATGCTCCCCCCTGGTTTCCCTTGCAGCTCCTCACAAACAGAGCATGAGACACACAGAACTCCTGATGTCAGCCCTCCTTAGCAGCAGCTAAAACATTACTGTGTTATCAGCATTATTCTGATATTAAATCCAAACCACAGCACTGTACCAGCTGCAAAGAAGAAAATCAACTGTATTAACTGTATATTGCAGAAAGCAATGGTCACTGGAAAGTCATTTGGCATTCCTTCACTCTTATTGCTTATGTTTATTGAAGGCAGCATTGCCTCTCACTGATGAGAGAGAACCTTGAGTTCTGAATAGGAAACACTGTCCATGCTGCTGCATGTGGATGTTGTTTAAAGGGCAGCAAGGAAGGAAATCTTTGGCTGAGGGTAGGAAAAAGAGGGAGCCCAAGATAAATAGAGAATGAGGCTCATGCTGCAAGAGGACAGGACAGATGGAGTGGGTGACAAACAGCATAGGCTCTGTGGTGCATCTGATAACCAGGAGGAAATCACAGAAATTTTGTTCATGTTCTTATCAGCTGGAATTCCATCTCCCATTTATTTTGGAGCATTGATAGACACCACTTGCTTGAAGTGGGGTACCATGACTTGTGGTGGAGAAGGAGCGTGTAGGATGTATGATGTTGTCACATACAGGTATGTTTTCTGCTTCATTTAAATTTCTCCTTCTTACTCTGTTATTGCGTGAGTAGAGATGTAATTTTATGCACTTTTTCTCCCTAGCAGACAAACTGCTCCTGTGTTAGACATACAATACAACTTTACTTGACATTGGCTTTATTTGCAAAGTGCAACCTTTGACACAGACATTGGAAAAACCTTTGAACAGAAATGTTCTGGTGCTATAATATTCACTAATAACCTCTCATGAGAACAAGCTTGGAAAACTCTGAATTATGATAAAAATACTGAAAAGCAGTTAGCACATGTGGGAAAAAGGTTCAGTGGGTGACTGCAATATCTTTGAACAGGAAATGGTTGAAACAGTACTTGGATTTAAAAAAGAAGAATTTTATGGAGAAGATACAGCTACTTAAGTTGGAATTGGCCCAGAATACTGCACTTCATGTTTTTGCAGTCCTTCAAGGACTGATGTGTGATTTTTAAAGAGAAATCTTGTTGAACTTGTGCCCTCATACTAATTCCTTGTAATATGTGTTGAGGTTGGTTTGGAAGAATATTCTTATGAATACTTAGAAACTTTAACGAGGCAGTCTAAGCCCTTTCAGGACTCTCTCTTTTCCCTATGGATAAAGCCATAGGAGTACCAGGTGCCTGACTTCACTGGCTAAATCATTTGCCTGAAATTGGGAGAGGTAAAAGGCCATTTTACCTTTTCATATTCTCTATTCTCACATTTTCACCTTCTGTGAGACCCAAAAGCATCAGGGCACAAGCTTTAGAGTGGCTGTGGAACCTTCACAAAGCAATGGTTGCTGGATAGTTTTGCCCTTTTTTTACAAATGCATGTCTTTAATGACATTCATTATTTATTTCAGGTGGCTCTATCTTGGCCTGCCAGCAGTGTTACGTGGAGTGTCCTACATCCCAAGCACACTTGTTCTTCTCATTTTAAAGAAGCAACTGAAATCTGAAAAGCCAGTCTTATTAAATGAACCAATAGAAATGCAGGATAAAGGACAAGAAGCAGTGAAATAGCATTTCACAGAAGGACATGTTGGGAAAAAAACATTGCAGTGTAAATATTGGATATATCCTTGTGAAAAATTTTTTACTTTAAGTAAGGAACAGTTGGACAGAGATGAATAGAATTACACATAGTTGTATCCTACTTATATTATAAAAGTATCAATTTATAAAGACAAGGCATGGGAAAAATATGTTTGGTGCAAAAGAACAAGGGCTAGAAATAAGAAAACTTATGCCAGGTTTGAGTTGTCTGAACAAAGGGCTCTGAAGCAGGAACATATGTCTTCAGTGCTGTTTCACTGAAAATAGAGAGAATTTTACATTTGACTCCAAGTGATGCCAGATTTCATCTAGGAATTCTCACAGGGTTTCTGTCAGAGTGTCACTGACTGTAGACAGCATTTGTGGCTTCTTTGGGCCCCAGTTTTCCATAAACTTATTTAATGATATTATTAGTCCTTTCAGGCAGGGATTATTTGTTATTCTGCATAGTATAAGTCGTCAATATATTGGTTTATGATATGGTCTGGGTGTTGTGGTAACAACAATAAATTTTAAAAATTACATTTTTAAAAAATCCTGTGTTGTGGTGATGTTTTAAGATTTGAATTGAGCATCGACAAGGAAAGGTCATCAGGAATCATTACTTCAGTTACCTGCTGCCCTGGGATGTCTGAAATATCTAGGGAAATAAAACATTAAATGTCTCAGGTAACAAAAATGAAAGAAAACCCTGCTGATCTGAGTTATACAAGGTGTCTCTGTGTTTGATGCATCCATGTTTAGCATCTAATTTGGCACTGCCTCATGTTTGGCTCCAGTGCAGAGCACCCTTGGGTCTGTCTGCCAGTGCCCATGCAATAACTTCTTGAGGCTTTTTGTTACAGGTCCTGGTTATTTTATTTTATTTATTTTATTACAGGTCCTGGTTATTTTGTTTTATTTATTTTATTACAGGTCCTGGTTATCCTACTGCATATGGCATGCAGGCAGTTTGTGGAACTACCACAGATTTACAAATATTTCCTACAAATTTCCTACAGGTGCTCCAGTACCTGCAAGTATTTCCTACTAGTTTATTCTATATGGCACAGACCTGCTCCCGTTTAAACCACCTGGGACCTTCTGCAGCCACCAAGAAGTGGGAAGGATATTTTGCCAAAAGAGTTTATTAATTCAGTTACAATCTGATTACTTTAAGGTGTCTTATTGACATCTATATGTGTGTGCTTGGAATTGCTTCCTGTCCTTGCGGGGTCAGTGAGAAAATATCCATTTCCTCTCCCAGAGCAGGAAATCAGCTCAGATATTTAAAATTTCTTCAAATACAAGTGATCCTTAAAGTTGATTCTTTTGAAAATATCTGTCCTTTCCCCTGTCTCTGTTTGTACTGGATGATGGAGCTGAACAGGAGGAAGGGGAATGGAATAAATACAAACATGATGCAGCCAGGAACGGAGCAGAACAGAGAATTCAGCTCCCAGATCGTCACTCTAGGACATGAAACAGAAAGATGTGGACATTGGATTTTTTAAGGTAAAAAAGAAGGAAGTTTAATTCTGACACTAACATTTACAGATTTCCAAAACTGACAGTGGGTTGGAGGGTGACAGGGCCACCTCTCCAATGACACTGGACAATCTAACAGTCTATTACATTTCTCTTCTTCCATAAAAATGCAAAACAATAAGTTATTTGCATAAAGTAGGTGAGAAAGTTTGTTACAAAAATGTAAACATCAAAAAACTTAAAAAAATTTAAAAAAAATCAAAGCAACACAGAGATATCCCAGAGGCTTTGTGGACATTTGAAGCTGATTTTGAGCATTGTTCTTGCTAGTGAGGGACACTCATTGGGAGCCATCGTTCTTCCCTGTGGTCATATTCCTCCAAAGCTGGAGTTAAAAACCCTTTGCAGACATTTAGTCACAGCTTGGTGCCAGGGTAACCTGGGAAACAGGAAAAGTTACAGAGCAGCAGAATTTCACAGCTGTGAGAAACAAAAGGGCTTTGTCAAGTAGGCAAATCTGTGGCACTTATGTGGAGCACTGCCAAAGGGTCAGACTTGGAGAACTCCCTGTGTGTTGAAGTGAGAGGAAGCAGATAGGAATGTTTCCAAGTTCTAAAATTAGAATTTCTGCAGGAAAGTCTTAAATTTAGCATTTCAGTGGATATATTAACGCTGTGTTTAATTGCTCTGCTTCACCTGCCTGAGAATGTAGCAGGGAAAAAGCCCCAGGCTGTGTGTCCAGGCAGGCAGTGCAGGGTGGTGGTGCCTGGGTATGGGAGATATCGAACACTGAGAAATAAACACTTGAAGCTTTTCAGGCAATGTGATGAACTTGGAGGTATTTTAAAGGCAATGGTACACAAACTGTGCGCACAAGTGTTTATCTACAATTTCTAACATGTATTTATCTAGCATTTTGTACTCAAGATTTTTTGTAATGATCTTTGATGTTCCATTGGGGTTTTTTTGACTGGGACCGGCTGTTGAGCCATCATTTTCAAAGAAATAACAAATCCTCAGTCCCACTGAAAAATGTCACTGCTTTGTAAAATGCACATCTCTGTGCATGAGAAGGCTATGTGGTTTTTTTTGTTTGTTTTCACTATTTTATCTGTATTTTAATTTCATCAGCTACTTAATTGCCAAGTCTCTCATTATTTTACAGTCTTATCTGTATCCTAAAAAATCTTGTGTCTGGTTTAAACTTCATTGCTGCTCTGCTGCTTCCAGCTTTAAAGAATTGCAACCTATTCTTGATGCACATGATAAACACTTCTGATTATGCATATTGCCCAAGATATGATCATAGTTTTTTTGGTTTTTTTGTGTTTTTTTTTTTCTTGAGAGAAAATTACTCATTTGAGAGGAAAATATGTTGCCTGACAAGCTGATTTTATTTGGTGGACAGAAGGGAGGTGTGATGACCAAAGCTGCATCCTTACACTGTAATTTGGTTGAGGTCATGTCTGATTGTGATATGACGCTGGCTTTGTGTTTGTTATACAAACCTATTAAATTAACATTAACAATTTTGGGTAACTATTACTGGTAGCTTAAGTTTACTTCCTTTTTCTGTAATTTCATCAGTGGTGAGCAGTGTTTTACAGGTTTTGTAACCTTTCTGTCTCAAGTGGAGTTTTAGCAGCTGACTCTTCCCTGCAGGGTTTTCTCATCCCAGCAAACCATGGTACCAGAAGTTAATTCAACCTGTGGCTGTGGGAGGGGAGGAACACCCTGGGAATACCTGGGGTGGGATCTGGCATGCAAAGAAGCCAAATCACTTTTTAGTTTATGTAAGTCTGGCCATGTGACACAAACTGGATATATCCAGCAATCACTTCTTGGCTGGATACTGCTGCTTTTTCTTTTTTTTTTTTTTCCACACAGAATTGTTGTTAGTCTTTTCCTTTCTTAACAAGGCATGAAGTGTTCTCAGTTATGATGCTTGGGATTTTGAACTTTCTTTGTTTAGGACTTTCTCTGAGAATGTAGAAAACTACCTGGTAATTGCCCCTCTCTTGCTTTGTCCAGGGAATCAAGGGCATACATTTCTGAAATCACAGCAGGCTAAAATCACAGGATAAAACACACAGGATCCCTTTGGGAGGTGAAATTTAAGGTATTCCAATGCCTGACTTCACTTCTGTAGGAGACCATGCTGTAACTCCAGGCCAGAAGTGTGACTATTCTAAAAGTAGTAAATGAATTAAAATTTCAAGTTTTGTTTCTTTACGTTATCATTAGGAAAGAAAAAAAAAATTGTAATAAAAAGATAAGTATCCTAAAAGTTTTATTCTGATTCTTATTGCTTTCTCTTTTAGTTACTGTTAATACATTTTTCTTTATTCCCTTTTAGAGTTTTAAACCTTTCTCCTAATCCTATATCACAACAAAAATAAGTAAATACATTCCAATAAGTGAACTGGTAATTAGCAAACACTTACCTCACTACACTCATTGTACATTAACCAAAAAAATCTCAAATTAGCAAACCAAAACCACAACATTTGTGCCTATTAATTTCCAGGAGAGGTGCTCAGGGCTTTTGCCCAGGGTTGTGACCTTGGGTGGCAGATCCTTGCTGGATCCTTACATGGCAGAGCAAGAGGGAGGGGCAGAAAACACCATTAGAAATGGGGGTTTAAAAGAAGGAGTTCATTCCAGAGGTTTTGATTTTTAAAAGGCCTTGCCCCCCTGTGTTGGAGGAAAGGCTGCCTGGCTTTGTGAGGCTGAATGGCTCCAAAAGCAGCTTGGAGAGCACAAATTCCTCAGGTGAGGTCAATGAGACACAGAGGGGGCAGTGCATGCTGTACCTGTGCTGTTCCATTGTTCCGGGGCAGCTCTCTGCATGGCACAGCTGCAGGCTGCTGGCACGCCACGGCTGCTCCTCCTGCTCCAGGAAACCTCCTGCTACCAACACACAGTCATGGCGAAAGCCAGCTTCAGGGGCTGCAGAAATGTTCAGTTTAAAAAAAAATCCCTAAAGAGCACAAGATTTGTGGGTGGTTTTTTTTGTTATTCTTTTTGTTTTGATTGATTTTTCGTTTGTTTTACTTTACTTTTGGTGGTGGTGGTGATGTAGTTTTTTACCTCCCGTGGTAACTCTGAATGTTCTTCCTGGTGAGTCTGTGTAATAGGACAGCAACATTTGCAATGTTGCTGCTGCTGCTTTGTGAGTTCTACTTCCATGACCAGAATCTTGCAGGAATATTCCTTTCAGATATGTATATGTGTATAAATATATATATATTTATATATATATAGTTATAGGTATATATATATAATATATATTTTTATATACATATATTACTTAAAATTATATATTTGTATAGTTTACATAAATTTATATATCTATATATTATATAAACATATATTTTATATGTATATATACCTGTAACTATTTTTGTATATAAATATATACATTTATACACACATACATATCTGAAAGAAATATTCCTGCGAGATATATATATTATCTATATATATAATGTATATATCATATATATTTCTATATAAATATATATTTATATATTTATATATTTATATTTGTATATGTATGTGCACACAGACAACTTGTTTCAGACACAGACAACTTTTTTATGCTCTCTGTTAATTTTCCAGCATTTCAATTTAACAGATGGACTAAAGGATTTAAGGACTCCCCTTTTCACTTGGATTCCTTTTCTGAAGGAATCAGAAGTCTTTCTGAAGGAATCAGAAGCTTTTTTGGAAGATGGTGTCTGAAATCCCATCCTGGGTGCTGGAGAAGTTATTTCTAAGTTCAAATATAGGAAAGAAAAAGCTGTTCATTGTTTCCAAGTTCCTCTGTTAATTTATCCCGTTATGTTTTCATGTGAGGGAGGCCTGAGCAGCAGGGGCTGGATTCACTTATTCACTGTTCTCAGAGACCGTAAGAGCCACTATTGGATTTTCTTGTATTAATTAGACAAGTCTATGTAGAGAAGAGAAGAGCTGGTATTTCTCCAAATCTTATTTCTCTATGAACACCATGAACTTGGTATTATACACACACAGAGTCAGCCAGTGGTATTGTTAAAAAAAAGAATT